GGTCTCTGGGATGTACACAACCATAGGACCAATGGGTGCTTTTCATTCCCAATAACAACAGTTGCCCATTCAGTGGTTTTCAAGCTGGGTTCCTTGGAGTCCTAGGGTTCCTCCAGGAATGTCTCAGGGTCGGCCACAGTGAGTATGGAGAAATCAAACTGGGGGCCCCATCTCCAGCTGGACCAGAGCAGCTCTACCTTTATCTGCTTTATATATTGGAGCTGTGCTAAAGCTTTTGTTCAATACAAGGATTCTGCTATGGAAAAAAAAAAAAAAAGAGGAAAAAATAGAAAAGGAGAACAGCAACAGACCTATCATTATATGCCATTCTGTCTCCAAAGATGTCACTGGAACTTTTTTTTTTCGGAGCTATTTTCATGGCAGTGCCTTTACAATCACGTTTTGAACATTAAAGGAATTTAGTGGAAGGGGAATCGCTTTTGGGTACATACGTGGGTTTTCAGCTTTGGTTCGACCACTTAGTGAAGTGTGTGTTCTTGGGGACCTTCCTCAACTTCTCTGGGCTCCAGTTTCTTTATTTTTCAGTGGGGATAACACCTCATTAGGAGGGTCACTTGGAGGATTCATGGGATAGAATGTTCATGGCACATAGTAGCTACTCATTAATGTTCGTTTCTTCCTCAGCCTGGCCCCATCAGTGTGCAAAACACAGCAATTTTTTCTCTCTCTCAACAGATATGTCAACAAATATTTATTGCCCTGGTATGTGTCAGTGAGCCAGACAGTCCAAGATCCCTATCTCTTGGCGTATGTGTTTCAATAGAGGAGGACGGTATACTCGAAGGTGACACACGACATGGAACAAAGGACAAGCAGAACAGATAAGGAGGGGTAAGGAGTGGGGTGGGGGTACAATTTTCAATAGGGTAGTCAGGGTAGGTGATGTCTGAGCAAAGGCTCGATGGAGGTGAAGCAATAAGCCATGTGGGTCCGGGCAGGGAATGCTAGGCAGAAGGAAAGGAGAATGCAGATGCTTGAAGGTAAGCTTTCCTGGAGGGTACAAGGAGTTACAGGGAAGCCAGAGTTGTTACTGCCAAGTGGACAAGGGAACAGAGTAAAGGAGATGAGGCTGGGGAGATAATATGGGGCAAGACATTGACCTCTATTAGAGCACTGACTCTCAAAATAATTGCTCAAAAATATCATGTCAAATTCATTTTCCCACAGTATTAGAACTTGGGGACCACAAGGCGGAGTTTACTTGATTACAAAGTGTATTCTACATCAGGATGAATGAAGGATATAAAATCTGAGCCTGTCTATTTAGAATGCAAGCTCATTAGAGGGCTCCCTGCACACCAATTCTGGTTCTCTCAGATGTAACCCATCCCCACCCTCGCACCTTCTTTCCCCAGCAGGGCCATTCTCGGGACAGTCTCGGGAACCCAGCTCCCTCAGGGCTCCCATGTCCTTCCATGAACACACTCCCGCTCACTGATTGGTCCAGAGGTGGGCACCTGACTGGCTGGACCAATGAGTCCCTTCCCTGTTTTTTTTGTTGTTGTTTTTCTTTTTTAATAGGATATCAGTGAGAGAACCAGAATGGTCTCTCGCTGGTGGCAGGACGTGTAAGATATATATCTATTGGGACCCATGTGTGAAAAGATATATGTGTGGAAAAAGCCTGTCTCTAGTGAGAGAGAATAAAGCAGTTTGGAAAGGGGAGAGGTGAGAGAAGGGGTGAGAGATCGAGGAATCTCCTGCCCTTGGTTCCAGTTGTTTCTGATGCTGTCCCCTTGCCTTCCTGCTGCTGGGCTGTTGAAGTTTGCCTTGGATTCCACGGGCAATACAATTCCTTTTATGCCCAGGCTTGTTTGAATCTGGTTTTTCTCATTTGCAGCCTAGATAACCCACTGCTTATTTCTTTTATCTTTGAAGTTACTTAGAGGCATCTACACAGAGTTTCATTTTTAACAACCTCCCACCCGCCTTCAGCTTAATTTCCTTTAGAAAAACGTTGGTCATGAAATCTGCACTTCTGGAGTCGAGGACAGCTTTTCTGTCCTTTTTCTATTTTGTGAGCTCCTCCACGAAAAGGAAGGTTTTCCACGGTCAAAAGCACTGAGGAAATAAATGGTGTATGCAATATGCCTATCTTGGAGATTTATAATGTAGTGTATTAAAGAATTCCTGTCCTGAATTAATGTGTTTAATTTTGCCTAACCAGGGTTCCCCAGATCCTTTCTATTCCTGTATCATGTAACATCTGAAACTGCTAACAGCCCATAGGGCCGACTTGGGGGCATACTGTCAAGGTCCGTGTGTGACTGAGCCTGCTTTCTTTAAAATGGCATATTTCCAGGCTGCCTTGCACAAGGATGTTTGACCAAGGAGGCACTGTCAGCCCGGAGGAAAGGACACTTTTGGTAAATTTCATAGTTACTTTCTACTCGCTAAGCATGAGTCCATAGGGTTGGGTCCACCCAAAGAGGGTGCCTCTTCCTAGTTCACTCCTTGGCACCAAAGGTCCATCCTCTAGGTCAGAGTTACACCTGGAGGTGTGGCTCCCTCACTGCTTCCTTAAATTTCTGAGAGGTGGAGCAAGAATGTGCCAAAGGCTCTGCTTTGAGAATGAGACATCCAGATGATAAGGTGCCCCAGGACCCTTGTGTAGGTATGAGATATCTGGCATAGTCTCTGCCTCTGGGATGGGTTTGACCATCCTCCCGTCTACTGGTTGCCATTATCAACCTTCCACTGTTTACAGTTTGCAGACAGCTCTCATCTGATCGGCTGATAAAGGCAGGGCTGGGGGTTTGATCTTCGGTCTGACTCTGTAAAGCCACTCTCCTGTTTTCCTACTCTGCCTCTGTCATCAAGTTGTCTGTGGCCACTCCCTCAACCGCCAACTTTCAATTTCTTTCTTCTCCATCATCACCCAGATATCTCCTCTAATGACCCAGGCTCCTTTGCCTGGGGATTGAGAGGAAGTGGAAATGTAAAGGAGGCAAGATGGCATCTGTGGAGCCACACGACTTGGCAGGTCAGGAAGGCTCCTCCCTGCCGAGGACTGTGGCGGTGAGAGGCTTGGCCGTGCCCCCAGTCCTTGGGAGCAACAAGCAAACAGCAGGATGTGGCCGTGCCTCCTTGGGTGGCCTTGTGGACCAGCATCCCTCACCTGCCAGAGCCCACCTCTCATCCTTCAGCAGGTGTGTGGACCTCACTCCCACCCACGTGAGGCTCACCCCCACAACCAGCCCAGGAAACGAGCAGCTTTAAGGTGACCAGAGTCTCCAAGAGATGCTCGTGCACAGCGATGTATCAGCCTGAAGAAGAAGCCTGGAGGCAGGGATTCAGGAGGCCTGGCTGGGTGGCCTGGGTGAAGTCATCGAACCTCAGCCTCCTTCCCTGGCAAACGGGGATGAGGGGCCCTTCCTAGCACGCAGGGCGGCGGTGAGGGGAAGGCCAGGAGGGAGGATGATTACGATCCCAGAGGGACCGTCTCCCACATTGCTGGAGGGGGCCCAAGGGATACTGAATTCAGGAAAGTGGACGGGATCATCGAAGCATCTGCTCAACCAGGCTCAGACTGGGCTTGGAGGGCCTGGAGCCTGAGGTGAGCTGCCAGAGATGGTGCCGGAACGAGTCGCGTGGCGCCCTTTTGCCGCTCAGCTGCAGCAGCCGGAGGACTGGGCACAATGTGAGGTGAGTGGCCCTGCTCATCACCCCCGTGGGATGCTCAGGCAAGAGCCGCCGGGAGGGCAGGTGCGGTGGAGGCGGGAGAGCTCGGGGTTTGCGGGTAGTCGTCCCGGGGTGGGGAGGCCTTCGCTGCCCTCAGAAGCCTGGTGGGCCTGGGCCTGGTGAGGGCCAGACCTCAGGATGGGGGCTGGGGGGATCGGCTGCAGGAATCACAGGGTGGGGACCGCAAGAAGTGAGGGCCAGCCTGCTTGGCCTCCAACCTCTCCTCAGTGCCAACCTGAGGGCCCAAGCCTCTGTCCTGCTGGAATCTTCTCTCCCTTCAACCCTCTTTGCGGCCCCTCCCAGGCCCATCTCTAGACCCCCTCCCCCTTCCCCTCCGTTTCGCCCTGAACCCAGCGTTAATCTCACTTTGGGTCTCCTTGGCATCCAGCGTCCCATGCTTGGGCACCTTTTTACTCTCTCCGTCTGCTGAGATGCTAGAGGCGGTCAGCATCCCTAGGCTTACTGGCCGCATCACTCCAACCTCCGCTTCCGTCATCACGTTGCCTTCTCTGTCTGACCTTCCTGCACCCCTCTTATGAGGACCTACCTGTATAATCCAGGATAATCTCAAGACCCCGTGCAAGTACCCCACGTTTTCCCTGAACCCTCCCTCCTCCCAGGCGAAGGCCGCCGTCCTGCCGCAGCACGGGGGGCGCTCACGCCCCGCTGGGCTCTGTGTCTCCTCCTCTAGGCTGTGATCAAGGGCTTGGTCTTTTTCAATTTAATGTCCTTATTTTCGTGCAAAGCCTGAGATAGCATACGTGGCTAATGAATAGTTTGCTGAATACATAAATGCATACTTGGCTGCGTGAAATAAGCTTTGGGGATTGTACACACGGGCAGCCATGGTGCCAGGCCCCCGTGTCTGTGCACGTCAGTTCTCCAGCAGCCTCTCCGCCTTCCCCCAGTGGGAGGGGTCTGCTTTCCTTTCCCCTGGGCCTGGTAGCTGGGCTGGGATGTTCAAGCTGGTGGTAGAGGAAGGTTCACCCCTTCCTATTCTCCTGAAACCAAGCCACCTACCTCCCCATCCACACTTGTTAATTCCAACCTTTTCCCCGCCTTCCCTTTCCAGCAGCCCCATCATCTGCCCCCTCCCACCTAGTGAAACCCAAGGTAACCCAGGGCATCACTGCAGTCCATACCAGGGACATCCTTACCATTGACTGTCATGTCACTAACCCCCTGATGGAGAGCGGTCCTTCACCAGGTGGGCCAAGACAGCCCACCCGAGGCAAACGTCTTTCAGAGTCCGCACCCCTCCACCGTCACCCACTGCCCCAGTCCCCGGCCCAGCTCACCTGTCTCTCCCCAGATGGGCAGGTACTCATCCTGCTG